GGGAGGGAGGGAGGCAGGGAGGCAGGGAGAGAGAGAGAGAGGGAGAGGGACTGTGGGAGCGAGAGATCCGTTTATGCTAACTAGTTTGTTAATCTTAATCTCTCTTTTCTCTGGTCACACCTCTGAAGTTTGAACGAGCATCTTAGCATTTTTAAACAACGGCTTACTGTCACCTGAGCCAACATTCTTTCTCTGTACAAACCTTTCCTAATGACCAGGATGCCGTCAATTGACTTTGGGATCCTGGAACGCCAGTTCCCTTGCGCTGGTTGATGACCGCGATAGACCGATTTCGATGACGGGTGACCGAGATCTCCCTCTTCCTCCCTTTCAGCATGACCATGAGTGCCGCCTCCATCGAGCAAGAGCCGTCGCGCAAGCTGGCCTGTTGCGGGGTCCCCTTGATCACGGAGGACATGCAGTCGCTGGCCATCCGCACCCTTTCCGGCACGGACATCAACAAGCACTACGACCTCATCCGTGAGCTGGGGAAAGGGACCTACGGGAAAGTAGACCTGGTCTCCCATAAGAGCACAGGTGAGTTCCGGGGAGGGGCGAAATACGATGTCTCTCTCCCCTCCCCAGGCATGATCCATGCTTTGAATGGATTAAAAATGGTCAACAAAAGAAAATTAACCCACTTGCTCCACTGTTAACTTGGCGTTTCTCAACCTTGGCAGCTTTAAGACACGTGGACTTCAACTCCCAGAATTCCCCAGCCAGCGTGGCTGGCTGGGGAATTCTGGGAGTTGAGATCCACGCGTCTTAAAGCTGTCAAGGTTGAGAAAAAAGCTGTCCAAGCCACCGGGCGAATTCTGGTGAAAAGCAGACTAAGGTGAGGAAAATTAAGTTATTCACAGTTCAGGAAAATTCACGGAGAGCAGAGAAGGAGAAGGAGATACAGGCAGTCCTTGGCTTAAAACCACAGGCCAGAATGTCTGTGGCTAAGCAAGTAGGAGGCTAAACAGTCAGCTCCACTTTTACAGCCTTTTTTGCCATGGTTGTTAAGCGAATCAATGTTGTTAAGTGAATCACGTGGTCGTTAAACGAATCTGGCCTCCCCCCCCATTGACTTTGCTTGTCAAAAGCCGGCTGGGAGGGTCACAGGTGGTGATCCTATGACCTTGGACACTGCAACTGTCAGACATAACATGCCTGTTGCCAAGCGCCTAGATCTTGATCACATGACCATGGGGATGCTATGATGGTTATAAGTGCGAGGACCAGTTGTAAGTCACTTTTTTCGTTTAATGGTCATTAAACAAATGGAGTTGCAAGGCGAGGACTACCACAGCTATACCTTCTCCTGGTGGCCACACAAGGCATCAAGCACGACCCACATTTCACAAACTGTAGTGTCTCAATTCGTGCAATATGCTAAGCCAAACCTAACCCACAAACTGTGACTTAGCCAACATAGAGTTATAGCCCAGGAAGACTTAAAAACCGGGACCGGTTATTTCGCTACTGATTAAATATGTTCGTTGAGGGATGGCCAACTGTACAAAAACTTTGGTCTTGTTAAAAGATCATGTTTTGAGTTCAAGCTTACCTGGGCAGTGGTTTCCAGAACCATGTTATTTCCTTGGAGCCCCCATCATCCAGAGAGTTGCTCAAAGTCCTCTTTCTTGCCCCGTCTTCTCCCTCCACAGGCACCAAGATGGCTCTGAAATTTGTCAACAAGAACAAGACCAAACTGAAGAATTTCTTGAGAGAGTTCAGCATCACCAATACTTTATCTTCAAGCCCTTTCATCATCAAAGTGTTTGATGTGGTCTTTGAGACGGAGGATTGCTACGTTTTCGCCCAGGAATACGCCCCTGGAGGAGACCTTTTTGATATCATTCCTCCACAGGTAAGTGGACCTTGCTTGCGCCTTCTTGACCTGAACGGAAGGGAGGCAAGGTGTCTTCTAGTAGAATACCAAGATGGGCAACTGGGTGTATCTCTGTTTCTTGAAGCTATTTCATGGAAGCTTGCTCCAATTATGATACTAACAAATATGGTCTGGAAACCAAATGTGATCTTCTCATCTGGCCCGCGGCTTCATCTTGTACCCTGCACAGATGTTACTTCTGATCTTCCCATGGGAAGATTTCAAAAGTTGGGAAGGCTGGGCAATGGAAGATTAACTTATCCCTCACACAGCAATTGCCATATATGGCCTTCATTACTTGAATTTAAAGTAGTGCAGGTTGCTTCTCTCCTTGATTAGAGAACTTGAGAGAAGAGAGAGAACCTTATTGTCACTTTAAATGTACACAAATCGGCATACATTAATGTATGCCAATTGGTGTACATTTGATGTGACAATAAAGTTATTCTCTCTCTCTCTCTAAGTTCTCTAATCAAGGAGAGAAGCAACCTAGAACTAAGGAGAAATTAGTTTCCACCCGTTGCTTTTTGTCCTGCCTTCAGGCGCTTTGGAAAATAGCTTGACCCCCTCTTCTTTGTGGCAGCCCCTTAAATATTGGAACACTGCTATCATGTCCCCCCTTGTCCTTCTTTTCATTAAACTATATCAGGGGTCCTCAAACTTGGCCACTTTAAGACTTGTGGACGTCAACTCCCAGAATTCCCAGTTGGCTGGCTGGGGAATTCTAGGAGTTGAAGCGCACAAGTCTTCAAGTGGTCAGGTTTGAGGACCCCTAAACTATACCATTACAATATAGCTTGAGATGCTCCTGGACTTGGGCACATCCAGCTGTAAACTCAGCTCTTGACATCTCTGTCTGCCTGCAGGTGGGGCTGCCAGAGGACATGGTGAAGCGCTGTGTGCAACAGCTGGGTCTGGCACTGGACTACATGCACAGCAAAAACTTGGTGCACCGGGACATCAAGCCGGAAAATGTCCTCCTGTTTGACCGCGACTGCCGGCGCGTCAAGCTGGCCGACTTTGGCATGACGCGCAAGGTGGGCTGCCGGGTGAAACGCATCAGCGGCACCATCCCGTACACAGCGCCCGAGGTGTGCCAGGCAGGCCGGGCGGAGGGCTTCACCGTGGACGCGAGTATCGATGTGTGGGCTTTCGGGGTACTCATCTTTTGCGTGCTGACCGGCAACTTTCCCTGGGAAGCGGCCACGGCCTCGGACTCTTTCTTTGAGGAGTTTGTGAGGTGGCAAAAGGGGCGCCTGGTGGGGGTGCCCTCTCAGTGGCGCCGCTTCACAGACAACGCCCTGCGGATGTTCCAGCGCTTGCTGGCCCTCGACCCAGAGAAACGCTGCCCGGTGAAAGAGCTCTTTCTCTTCATCAAGTACGATCTGATGTCTGAGATGCGCCGGCGGCCATCTTATCGTTCCCGCAAGCACACCGGGGACAAGCTCTCGGCTGGCCCACACCGCCATGAGACGCCCAGTGGCTGCACCCCAACCCCACTTAAGAGGACCATCCTGACGGAGGGCAGCATCTCCCGGCTGGCAGCTTCGGAGTCTGGCCTGCCTTCCCCTGGTGGAGGAAGCAGGACTGACGGCCGGGCAGACAAGGCCAAAGGCCAGATGGTTTTGGCGACCGCCATTGAGATCTGTGTCTGAGGAAAACGCGGCACCTCTGCCAAGCCAACATTCTGATATCAGCACCGTATCTTCTTCTGCCCTGGGATAGGTGGTGTGTAGAAGGAATTTTTTTAAAAAAAAAAACCACACACACACAAAAGATCCCCCCCGACTGACTGGAATGTGTGTCTCTCCGAACCACAAGCAAACAATACAGTAGAAAACCAAGGGGGGGAGGGAAAAAAAAGATGATTTATCCAATTTTTTGAACGATGCAAACGGTTTGTGGCTGGGCAGCTAAGGCCACGGTAGAAATAGGCATGGTGTGTAAACCGGGAGGGAGGGAGAGGGAGGCAGAAAAAGGACTGGGGGGTGGTGGGTCGTCATGGGGGGGGGAAACTGGAATTATTGGTAAGCTCGTGACACCCATTTCATCCAGACAGAAGTTGCTGTTGGGTAGCTGGGGATGGGTGGGGACAGTTTGGGGAGGGGAGGGAAGACATAAAGAAGGGATTAAAGGGGTAGAAATAGGCCAGAACAGCCTTGGTGATTGGGAAAATAGGGCTCTCCCCCCCTGCCAAAGAGTCGATGCAGAGTCAAGAGCATTGCCTTGCTGACCTCTCAATCTATGGACCTCTAATGCCCATCATCCCTGCTCTGCTGCCTGGCTGGGGAACATGGGAGTTCCCATCCTATGTACTTGAAGGATGTCTTGGGCAGGGGCTCAACCTTCAAGTCGGTTGGAACCCTCTTGAGAGGAAATGAAGCTGGATTTCATAGAGTCTTGCTCCCTCAGAAGTTCTGGGGGAGGTTCAGAAGAACGAGAGACTTCTGTGACCCACAGCATGTGAAATGGGGCTAGGCTGAGGCTCCCCATGACTCGCCTAGGGGGAGCTTGGCACACCGTTGCCCCTTGAATAGCTCCTTCTTCCAAATTCAAAGTGACCTCTTGGAGGTCCTCTGAGGAGGGGGAAGAGTGTCCACTGACTACGGCAGGCCATATCCGCCTATCATCCTTGCCTCTTCCCAGCAGGGAAGAGAGAGCCCGGTTTCTGATGGGTACGGGCTCCAGAGCAGTCTTTCTCCACCTTAGCAACTTCAAGACGGGTGGATTTCAACTCCTAGAAGTCCCCTGGCTGGGCAATTCTGGGAGTTGGAAGTCCACCCATCTTAAAAGTTGCCAAGGTGGAGGAACACTGCTCCGGGGGAAGCTCAAGTGCTGAGCTGAGAAGATCTGAGCTTTCACAATGTGGCCAGGAAAGCATTTGGTGCCACTGATGTAGCAAATGTTTTCTGTGTCTCTTGTGTGTGTGGGTGTGCGTGGGTGTGAATGTGTACCTGTGCATCTGTGTGTCTCTACATTTGTCAGGTCAACAGTAGCTGGGTGTTGTGTGGCCATTCATCGCTCAGGAAAAGAGACTTTCCCCTTTGTTCCTAGGGCCCAACGGGAAGACCAGGTGGGCACTCAGGTCTACTGGCACAGAGGCCAAAAGGGGAGGGCCTTTGGATGGGATTGGTGCTGCCACTGGGATCCCTCAAGGTATGGGAGATGCTGATTCCCATTGTTCCATGCCTCTGGCTAGGCTGTCCAGGCTGGTCCAAATATCTGAGTGGTCCAGTACACCGACCTTCTGCTGCGTGAATAGTATGCTAGCAAGAAGAAGAAGTTTCCTAATCGTGGGGTCCTTGGTGCTCTCTGAACTTGGTTGTTCTCTTGCAGACAACTCTCATGACCCAACTTGATAACATCATCAGTGCTAGAAGAGAGTGGGTTTGCTCTCTACTTAGGACCTAGTGGCTTGCCCTATCAGTGTTGGTGAGAGTGTTCTTGGCAGTTCCTTGATTTAAGATATTGTTTACTGTTTGATTGTTTATCTGCATCGATAGTTCCATGTTTGGGGTGTTGCTTACCACTTGGTTGTTGGGAGAAACTAGGAACTACCAACTCAGACAAACAATCCAATAGTAAACAACAGCCTAATCATGCAGCCTCCAAGAACACACTCACCAACACTGACAGGGCAAATCACTTGTTGTTGTTGTTAATTGCAAAGTCATGTCCGACCCATCACGCCCCCATGGACAACATTCCTTCAGGTCTTCCTGTCCTCTACCATCTTCTGGAGTCAATCACTTGTACATAAACAGAAAACAAACCCCACTCCCTTCTAGCACTGATGATGTTACCCAGTTGGGTAATAAAACATTTGTAGGGAAACAACCAAGCTCAGGTCCCCAGTTCACCCCAAACTACAAATATTCTTCTTCTATTCTAGTTTTCCAAGTGTCCACAGGGCAGGAGCAGGGGAATCAGGGCCCAGCAGATATTCCTGAGCAACCCCCAACAGTCCAGGCATTGCGGTCAGTGCTGATGGATGTTGGGCGGTCACAGGACGTCCCAGAAGAGACCACCTTGGATTTGGTGGCACCATCTTCTCCCCCAGAAGGTTGTCTTGATGTCTGGGCTAATGTCCAGAATTCTCAGTCCCATTGGTTGGGGAATTCTGAGGGTTGAAATCTTAGAATCTCCTGATTGGGGAAAAAAATTAATCGAAGGACGTTTTTGTTTATGATTGTAACGTTGGGCTCAAATATCTACTTCAGGTTTCAGCCTGCCAAATTTCAAGCTATTCTACGTGGATTGAGGTGAGGGAATTGTCCTCTGCAGTGTTTCAAATTGAAATGCTGCATTCTTTATATGCAAGTATCAGCCCTGGTGTACAATGTAGAATCCCTTTTCTCCAGAAAGATTCTTATGTGTTCAGAACCAAGGCGATCTGGACTCTCAATGGTGCTGAAATCCTTCATGAGCAGGGAAGGGGTCCAATTCAGTTAGAAACATCTAATTCGGTCTAAACCTGGTCTGTTTTGTTGTCAGTGTTAGGAAGATAGAATTCTGATCCATTCTAGTTTTTTTAAAAAAAAAAAAATCCACCAAAGAATTCCACTTAGGTTCACACATTAACTTAAGAAGTACTTGTTATCTATCTTCCCTTAATGGACAGAGGAGCTGTTAATGTAAACTCATCTTTCTTAAAAGGTGAATTTTGCTGATAGTCTTTGAGGGGGAGGGCGCATGCATTTCCTTTTCCTCAATCCCAAAGCAAGCTGTGTGAAATGTTTTACCTCCCTTTTACAGTGGGTCTTTCAGAAACAGGTTCTTTGCGAGGCTTTCCTCTTTCCCCAAAGTGGATGTTAGATTTGGAGTGGATTTTTAAAAACAAAACAGTTGAGTTTCTTGGTGGTGCTTTGTACGTGTTGGCATGGAATTTGGAAGATCTTGCAAATTTGCTCCTATGGAAATCTGTAATGCAGCGTTTCTCAACCTGGGCAACTTTAAGATAGGTGGACTTCAACTCCCAGAATTCTGGGAGTTGAAGTTCACCTATCTTAAAGTTGCCCAGGTTGAGACATGCTGCTGTAATGGGTTTGTTTAATATTATATTAAACAATTTATATTATATTGTATAATATAAAGTCAAAAGAAATCCCATATTCCTCCCTAACTGCCCTTCTTCGGAGTAGTTTCCACACCTGGATTTGCTAACACCTCTGTAACCCAACAAGAATTATCTACAGAGTCCGAATTGCTACCCCATTTTATCTTAAATTTCAAGTGAGAATGTGAATAAGCTGCCAAGATGTCAAATGAGGTAACACACGATTACGTAAGTCTCCCTCCGGGCGAGATCCCTGTAATCTTGCAATCCTGGCCATTTTATATTATTTCAGCCATTTAATTTTAATTCCTTTAGATGCTAGGCCAGCTGTCCCAGTTCTTCTGCTCTGCATATATTTCAAGCACCTGAAGTTTAAAGAAAGACAGAAGTGTCTCCGGATTTCTACTTTGCTAAACATTCTGGGAGAAGATTGGATGGAATTTAAACTTGAGAAGGAGAAGGAGAAGCAAACATTCTGGGAGAAGATTGGATGGAATTTAAACTTGAGAAGGAGAAGGAGAAGGAGAAGGAGGAGGAGGAGGAGGAGGAGGAGAAGGAGAAGGAGAAGGAGAAGGAGAAGGAGAAGGAGAAGGAGAAGAGAAGGAGAAGGAGAAGGAGAAGGAGAAGGAGAAGAAGAAGAAGAAGAAGAAGAAGAAGAAGAAGAAGAAGAAGAAGAAGAAGAAGAAGAAGAAGAAGAAGAAGAAGAAGAAGAAGAAGAAGAAGAAGAAGAAGAAGAAGAAGAAGAAGAAGAAGAAGAAGAAGAAGAAGAAAGAAGAAGAATCTCATGAAAATACCCACTGCCTAACAGAGACTGTCAAATGACATCAAGGGCTCATTTCAAACCACCCCTCAATCTAGGCTGATGTTTTAGGGAACCTGTTTTGTTTAGGGGGGGGGGGAGAATGGGGTTCAAGAGAACCTGCAATCGTCAAAGGATAGCAGAACTGCAGTCTTCCCAAAGGACCCACCGCTAAGGTTGTACAGTAAATAATCTGCAGATGTTGCCTGTAGCAGAAGGTTCCTTGGCAACTCTGTGACCATGACAATGCTAGGATCCAGTAACCAAGTGATGGAAAAAAAATATCAGCCAAGATCTTTCTTTAAAAAAATAAAAGTTCAAAGGGACAAGTGTGATTATGATGTGAGGACTCCACTTGGTAACCCAACTTTACAATTCAACTATTTCCTCCACTTGCTCCCAAGATGTTCTGGACCAATTCCTCTTAAAACAGGGATATCCAACCTTGGCAACTTTTAAGACTTGTGGACTTCAACTGCCAGAATTCCCCAGCCAGCCAGCCTAGAACTAAGGAGAAATTTCCTGACAGCGAGAACAATTAATCAGTGGAAGGGCTTGTATTCAGAAGTTTACGGGTGCTCCTATTCTGGAAGTTTTTAAGAAGAGATTGGATAGCCATTTGTCTGAAATGGTATAGGTTTCCCTGCTTGAGCAGGGGGTTGGACTAGAAGACCGCCAAGGTCCCTTCCAACTCTGTTATTCTGTTATTCAGATGCCAAGGTTGGACACTCCTGCGTTAAAGTCTGCAGTGAGTGGGAGCTGAACAACCCATCTGCAGAGCATCAGTGGTGGGATTCAGT